TTCAAAAGGATTTTTATTTTAAGAAAAATAAAATATCTCAAAGAGCAAGGTGGTAGATCAGTGTTATATGATACAAAGTAGTATTAATAAGCAGACTAGCATCATGCGTGTGTGACCTGAGAGTGGACCAAAACCTTGTCCTTAAGATTTCTGTGACCCTTTGCATGTATGAGCACACTTATTCACACTCACACAAATAGTCTCTTAGTCTGCTCTTCTCTTATCATTGAGCTGAAACACTTAATCATTTTTCAATAAGGGGCTCCATTGTCACGTTCCTCGCAACTAAAACACTCAGGGTCATTCCAGAAGAATTGGGCTGCATGAAATAATCACCAAGAGACAGAGGTACCTTTTCTTTGAGGTCCTGTGACAGCTGGCTCCTCTGACCTTAAGGGTCCACAGAAAGAGAGAGAACAAGCACCTGCTGAACCCGTTTGTTGAAGAGAAGATATTCAAATGAGGCAAGTGATCAGGTTCCTGGGGGCTGAGTCCAGCTTCGCCATGTCTGCTGTCAGCAGGTTGGCCATACCCAAAGGCAGAGCAAGAGAAAGGGACACACAAAGGGCATTTTCATGGAACATTCTGTCCCAAACAGGGAAAAGGGTAATATCACAAAAGAACAGGTGAGCCTAGCTCAATCCATGGGGAGACATGCCTATGTCTGAAGATGTGTCCTCAACCTTCCGGGACCAGGGCAATGTCCAGGTCACTACAACATGTAGTGATAGTCAGAGCCTCTCTGCCTCTGGATGGAGAACACTAATCATTTAGACTGGCTGCCCACACTCCATGTTTTCATTCTGTACTGGACCACACAAATTAGGTAGGCACTTCTACGTATATGCAATACTGCATATTTTGATAGAGTTGTAAATTTCAAGCTGCCAATTAGCTTGAAAACTTTACAAATTTATCCTTTTGGTTCTTAGAAACATAGGTTAAACCACAGTATTATAGATATTAAATTAAATATAAACATTGGAATGTTTCTTCATTGTATACAATTTAGTAGAAAATAAGAATGAGACATACAGTTACATCTTTAAACGATATGTCAACAGAATGTAAAATAATAGTTCACTAGAATGTGAATCCACTGAGACAATAAACACTATTTTACCTGGTTGTTGATGATTAAATCTAATTGTCAGTTATGTTTGTTAAACTATTAGAGTAGAACTATTAGAGTAGAGTAGTTCCTTATCTTGATTTTTGTTATCTATAATAATCAAGTGTAGAATAGAACTGTTCATAGAAAAACTTGGAGATGATCCAGGAGACCAAAATAAAGTTTAGTGGCTATGAGTGTGGGCCGTGAGTTTCAGTGCTTGGTTTGAATCTTGGCTTTGCATTTCTATCTCTATGATCAAAGAATTAGCAAAAAGACTATAAGATAGTGCAGGTTTCCTTTAAACCATTCTTCTTACTTCACTGAAATGATTCAAGGATTATTCTGCCTTAGGAGAGACTCATATTTTTAACTTGCTACTGGAAACTAATAAGTTTCTCAAATTTAATGTATTTATTAAGAAATTCTGATATACCCCCAATCTATAACTGGCCTTTACTGATATTTCAATTAGTAAATGGCTTCATTAGTCATTCCATGCATTGAAACAAAAATTTAGTAATCATTCATTAAAGTTTTATTCTGACCTCATGTTTCTTGTCCTTCAGCAGTCCAAATACATCCTGAATGAAACCTTTCCTCACCCTATGCACTGCTTCGGCTCCCAGCCAGAGTTTATTCACCCATTTTCTAGATCATTGTAAGCAGCATCTCATTGATATACCAGCTTCCTTTCTTCCCACCACACCAATCTCCCTTGAGAGTATATGTTTCTGCAAATATTTTTCACTATATAAATCACACTATATCACTTTTTTTTGTCCTATACATTCCAATGGCTTCCCATCTCTTAGAATTAACTCTAATTTAAACAACTGATAAGTAAACAAAGCAGCAGCCTGAATTATCTCGTTCCTGGTCATATCTAAGATTTCACTTCCACCTTTGCCTCTCTAGTTGCCCATTTTGCTGTTGTTTAAACTAATTCAAATTTTGATTCCTTTTCTAAAATCAAGCTATAAAATAAAATAAAAAATTACCTATCCAGTTGGCCAGTTCCATCTATAAGTTGATGAGCACTTATAACCGTCATTATAGCTTGCACATTCATCACTTAGTACTAAATGAAGACATGCAGAGCTACCCAAGGTTAACGAGAAAGCAGGTGATCAGAATTTCATAAAGCACTGATTCAAGATACTTGCTGAATGCTTTCTTCAAATATAGATTCAGAAAGACAATTTTTAAGTTATGACATTTTATATAAATGCTTAACATTATCTTGAAACCTATTTAGTTCTCAATAAATATCAGCACCTCATTATTGTATTTTAATCAGGCACTAAATACATGTTTGCAAGGTGCATTTATGAAGGAATGAGTTACATTGACAAAATTAGTAAACTATAGTAACCATGAAGTTAAGAAATACAAGTATCAAATTAAAGATTTATGAGTTAAAGCTAAATACTTAGAATTCTTATATGCTTCATGTGCAATCAAGTGACTATGCAAGAAGAAATGTGCAATCATTTTGAGGAGATTTGTCTCAGTTTATCTTTATTATACATAACAGAATGTGATCAGAAAGGTCAGGTGGTCTATTAGGGCTATGATAACTGCTATCACAACAACCTTCAAAACTTCTGTAGATCAATACAATAGAAATTTATTCTTCATTCACATGAATTCAGAATGAATGTCTCTAATTTCAGCTCCTCTAGTTCAGTGACATATTTTAGGCACCAAGGCTACTTTTTGTCACTTGGCCATCTTTAATACATGAATTCACGTGTCACAACATAAGGGAAGAGGCTGGAAGATCACACACCACAGAATTTTATGAATCTATCAGAAAGTGGCAGACTTCATGACCATTTATTAAGACTCATAATTACAAACACACAAGAAAAATTGATGCATACAGTCCAAAGGGAAAAAGAAATAGGTATAGTGAGTGTATAATGGAGATTTAATAAGGAATAGAGGAATGTCTCTAGGATGAATCGCATTTGCAGGCTTTGAGGTGTATATATCATACATAAATGTATTAACATCAAATATTTGTATCTCACATTTGTAATGACATTCAATAAATGTATTAACACACATATACATGCATAAATATATATATATTTATTATACATACACATATATATGTATCTACATATATAGATATATATGCATATATACATACATAGAGAGATGTCAAACAATTAAAATCTACTTGAAGGATATTAAATAAATAAATAGATATATGTGTATATATATATATGTGTGTATATATATATATATGTATTTATATATGTTTGATGAGATGCTTATTGTTAATACTTGGGGAATAGGGAATAGAATGGGATATTTGGAATCAAGCCTAAAATTCAGTAAATAAAATCAATTTTGAGAGCAAACCTTATGAACAGCACATGATGGATAAGAGACTCAGCCCACCAATGTGTGCATATAATAGAGGAAGGAGAAAGTATGGTTTCCTGTCTGCTGGACTCAAATGTCCTTCTACTGAGCATTTGAATCACCTAATTCTACACGTTCTGGTCTAATGCATGTCAAAAACACATGAGGTTCTTAGGTAACTTGTTGATTATCACCTAACTCTGTGGTAGTGATTCCTCATGGTGGTTAATAATGGCTTTTGATTAGGATTCGAGAAAAAAGATCTGACCAGGACCACACAAGCATTTATGAGCCATGTAATAGTCATATCTTCACTGTAAACTAGTACAGATGCATTCTGGTCTTACCCTGATTTCATGTGTATTTTAATTAATCTATGAAGTCTTTCCATGCTACAGCTTAGCCTTGAGGAAAGCATAAATCTTTTGGTCATTAAAGTATAAAATCATATTCCTTTTTTTGTGTTGTTGTTGTTTCTTATATTGCTTCCAGATTCATTCTTGACTATTTTTTACATGTTAGACTTTTTAATGCAATTTTCTAACATCATGAATCCTTTGACCTTTATAGAAACTTTTAGTTATAAGCTGAAAGTGAACACAGAATATAAACTACAAAGCAAAAAAGAATATATGTCTAAAACAAGACCTAAGATTTGTGAAAAGTAAATACATTCGACAAATGTTATAGCAGTAAATTGGGGAAATATATTGGCTATATCTTCAGTACTGGGAAATAAACGTATAGTTGTATTTTAAAATCATTTCAAATCTGTGTTTAATTAAAGATCAAAACGCTTCAAATAATATAACTATGTTTTTTTTATTTTTTAATATAACTATGTTTTAACTCTACTTTTTAGAGAGAATCTCCTTGATCCATTTGCATTTATTTATGCATGCATAAAATTTCTCTTTGCAATATGCTTCAATCAATTGCTTTCTATGGAAATTATTTTATAAGGATAGGACAGAAATAGGCTATTCATGTCAAACTAAAATGCACAAGCCAATTTCTTCTATAAGACAGTACAAAGTAAAATTATTTGAACATCACAAAAAATGTTTTCAATTATCTATTTTAAATATGATATTCTTATTGGCTTTCAACTAAATATGACCTTTAGAGAAAAGGGTTTATAATTTATTATATTGCTTTTATATCCATACTGAAAATCAAAGTACAAATTTTTCAGGGGAAAAAATATTCCCAAAGCAAATATAAGGGAGTATTATGACTTGAAATTAAAGGAACTAAAAACAAATTTAGACATTTAATTGAGTATATCTCAAATTTGAAAGAATTAACTAATTTTGAAATATGGATAAATTTTACTATGAAGATTTCATTTTTAAGTAAAATAAGGTGAATGATTTGCACTATTTAATGTAAGCATAAAAATGCAAAATGGACCTGAAAATAAACTTAAAAAAAAAAAAAAAAAAAAAAAAAACTCCTCATAGGAACAAAGAAACTTTGAGCTTAATTTAATTATGGTGATTACCTTTTGCAGAGTTGCTCCACTGCGCTTCCTTGTGGTGATGAAATAAGCAGCATCACCAGTTCACCTCTCATCTCCCCAAGCATCTCTCCAACCATTTTTACACAAATATATACAGTGCCTCCTTCTGAGATCTTGTTCAGTATCTTCCCATCTGCAAGGGCTACAAAAATATGGACCATAATGGATACTTATCCAGGCAATGAAGGTAAGTAGAAGTAAATAAAATATGAAGTTGAATTTGAAAAAGTTTTATATTGAAAACCTATTTTCTAAGTTTTTATTTCTCAATTATTCAATTTTTTCCCAAGATATAGATTTTGTAAGGGTGCAAAATTTAGAATTCTTGTTAGTTACACATCCTGTTTTAAGTTTTAAAAATATTGATATTCTGCCAATAAGTACTATTTGGGGAAGGGGGTAACTGAAAAAAAAAGTCAACAATCTTTATTCTGATGTGTAAATTTTGGTGAATAACTGGACTCTAATTCTAGCACATTTGTTTTAAATATCAGTAAATCTTTTTGAAAAGGGCCTTGTACTACTTATCTCATTATGTCTTCATTTAATGTCCTGTGAATTATTATATGTAGATTTATATTCAATAATTTCTTTGAAAACTCTCAGAAACAAAAAGTGTTTATTCTTCTATTTTGAAGAATGTTAACAACTTGAGCCTCCTGATATGTGCTATGATTTAACAGTAAGTCAAATGATGTCATTTTATAAACAGTAGAATGTATGTTCAATTCCAAATTCACTCTCCATATAGAAAGTGTTACTCAGAATGATTAGTTAGAATTACAGTCCTTAATAAGATTTTTTTTGTTTATGAAAGTTTCTTTGAATACTGTTGTACATTCTAAAAAGAAAGTATCTTTTTCTATTTTTGTTTATATAATTTATGTTATTTAAAAATATTTTTTTAGTTGTGGTTGGACACAATACCTGTATTTTATTTATTTTTTTGTGGTGCTGAGGATTGAACTCAGTGACTTGCATGTGGTAGGCGAGCACTCTACCTCTGAGCCACAACCCCAGCTCCTGATTTATGTTCATTTAAAGAATTAAGTAAAAATAGAGTGTTATCAAATGTAAAAAAAAAAATTACTATTTAGAAATTAAAACAAAATTTTGAATATTTCTAACAAAATAGTTCAAATATTCATCAGTTATATCCATGATAAACAATTTTAGTTTTTAGTTTAATAATTTAAAGGAGTCATTTGGTTGAAAATGGCAATTTCATGTAACACCATTGTTCTATTTAGACCTTCCCGTGGAATGTAAATAATAACAGACTTTACATTTATGCAGTTTGTGAAGTCACTAAACTTCTTCATACACTTTTATTAGAAATGTGATTTACAGAGCCAAATCTGTCTGCATATAATAGGTGTGAGGTGGCAGTGCAATTTGCTAAAGATTCAGCCTGAGGCCAAAGTTATTCAATTTTAACTCACTTTTCTGATTTCTTTTTTGCCTTTTCCTTTCTAAAGCTCCAAAACACAGAGATATTTTCAAGCATGATGTTCCTACAACCACTGATTTGGCAGCATTAAGTATTGGCATAGCTTTTGAAAGCTACTTACTCAAAGAACTGATTTCCACTAGAGAGCTTTCAGCAAAACAGAGTCTTCTTTCTTCCACAGATGTTTCCTCTTCTCAGTTTCTGAATTTTGGTGTTCATGATCCAGCACAAATTGTCCGGGGCAAAACATCTGCATCACATATGCCTATTCAAACTTCAGCAGCTACACAAGCATTCTTTTTTTCTCATCAGGGAGCAAGGACCCCATTTATCATCTCTTCCTTAATGACAGATTTTATTTTTCCCACATCATCTTCATTATTTGAGGACTATCACACTGTTGCCTTTTCTGCTGCCACAATGAGTTCAGTAATTAGTAGCATTCCAGGAGCTGATATTAAGTTAAACAGGCACTCATTACTCTCCCATGGATTCCTGCTCACAACTGCTTCCACAAGTGCACCTCCAATTGTCTCTAGGAGGGCTCAAGAGGATATTGAAGAATATTCAGCTGTTTCCTTAATTTCAAGAAGAAAGCACTGGAGATTGCTGAGTCCCTCAATGTCTCCCATTTTTCCTGCTAAGATAATTATATCCAAACAGGTAGCCATCTTAAACTCATCAACTCTCTACCAATTTAGTACGCAAACTCCCATTCCCAGTGAATATTGGGTAATTACTGAAGAATCTAGCAACCAGAGACTCACAAACATCAAATCACAGGCTGCTGATTCTTTAAGTGAATTAAGCCAAACATGTGCAACATGTTCTATGACTGAAATAAAATCCTCTCATGAATTCTCAGATCAGGTTTTGCATAGTAAACAGTCCCACTTTTATGAGACATTCTGGATGAACTCAGCGATATTAGCCAGCTGGTATGCACTAATGGGAACTCAAACTATCACTTCTGGGCATTCGTTTTCTCCTCATACTGAAATAATACCATCAGTGGCATTCACAGAACTGTCATCTTTGTTTCCATCTAAAAAGAGTGCAAAAAGAACAATTTTATTTTCATCCTTGGAAGAATCCATTACCCTATCAAGTAATTTAGATGTTAATTTATGTTCAAATGAGACTTGTTTATCCATTGTATCTTCCCAAACTATGTCTTCAGACTTGATGTATTCTGATTTGACTTCAAAACTGACTACTGATGATCTGTCAGTATCAGAAGACATTCTTAAACTATCAAGATTAGGAAAATACAGTGTAACTATGAGTCCCACCGAGGCACTAAATCAAGACAATTTATTGGACATGAAAGAGGGTAAAGTGTCTCATCAACTGTTCAAACTTCACACAAGTGTTACCTCTCTAGATTTTGAATTAAACTTACAACGATATTCAGATGTAACTTTCAAGATGTATTCAGAAATCACACATTCAAATGACCTCAAAAACAATCAACCACTATATGCAAACTCACTATCTTACTTTGCAGAAGTAACTCCTAGTGTTGGGTTTTATACGGTGACAGCAACTCAACCTCTTCCAATACAGACCTCTTTACCCATGTCTCTAATTAGACCAGATTGGCCATATTATGTGGATTACCTGACCTTAACACCTGATTTAAAGGAAGAGATCAGGACTTCTTCAGAATGGTCAAAATGGGAACTTCATCCTGGTGTGCATGACCAAGAACCTCCTGCTGCAGCAGGTCAGATTCTTTCCATCACTAGATCACTTACTTCATCATCACTGGAGTCCTTCCCAGCGACTCAACAACTGATGATTTCTGGTGAGTTTCTCAGTTTCTGTTCAGTAAACTTAAAAATTAGTTTCTTTTCTAGAGAAAAGAAAGCATGTCATGGTCACCAGGTGCTCTAAACAGCTTCATTGTGATCAGGGCAGCAGCCAGTTCAATGGAGATGGCACCTGCTGCTGTACCCAACACAGATGGTTATTCTTTATGCACTGCCACAAAGGCTACCAGATCAATACAGGAGTTTGTGGGAGATGGCTAGACTGCTGGCAAGCAATCAGAAAGTGAACTAGTTCAATTCATTACAACACAGCTTTCAAAGTTTTGGAATAACTTTTATTATTCTCATTTCTTGAAATAGCTTCTTTATAGATGGAACACAATATAACATACTTTTCTAACATTATCCTTGGGACTGGTTACTTTTAATGAGAAAACTAAAAAAAAAAAAAAAAAACAAGGGAACTTCATTGAGTGATCGTATTAAATTTTAAAGCTATTAGTCTTTCATTGTATATTAGTCTGTACATATGTTAAATTAATACCCTTTATTAAACAAGAACATTATACAAAAATTGAAGGAGATAATATCTCATGTGAATTTGAATTCAGAAATTTGAATAATTAACAAGTCCATTTTCTTAGGTAAATTTCTCACTTTCAAGCACTTTTGAAATCACTAATGTCCTCTCCCTTTGTAATTACTGACAAATTGGTAAAGGTTGCTAAAGAAAAATGTTTAAAAAACTTTAATTATTAGAAAAATGGAATTAATAATTTAAAGAAATTCTATCTTTTGGAATTTTAAGTGTTAAATTGTGGCAGCAAAGTTAAAAAATAAGAATAGTAAGTAAGAAATTTATATTTTCCTTTTTTATTTACATATAACAGTGGAATGCATTACAACTATTATTACATATACAGAGCTCAATTTTTCATATCTCTGGTTGTATACATAGTATACTCACACCAATTCGTGTCCTCGTACATGTACTTTGGATAATAATGATCATCACAAATATGTATGTGTGGTGGTGGTAGTACATTTCTGCTTTAGAAGAAACTTATGGTACTTAAAACACTTTAGGTGTGTAATTTATGGCTAGCAACTTAGTAATGTGAAAGATCAAATCATTGATGGGTTCAATATCAGGATATTTTTATAAAGTTTAAAAAAATAATTTCATAAATTTAATTACAAATTTAAATGTAGTATTCTCCCTGTTATAAGACAATAGCTTGTGGCTTAACTATTTTGGCTCACCTAGAATACCTAACATGTTCTTTATCACAGGTAAGATTCTTAGTAAATGCAGCTGAGTTAAAATTTCTCCTCTCAAACAATTCACCCCATAGTTACCCCTGGGGAATAATCACAACACAAATTAACTACAAAGAAATAAAACACTAAGTTTTACTTATGAACATAACCTTGCCACTTTTCATCACTTCCCTCTAATTGTAAGGATTGATAGTTTTGACCTCATTCAAATCTCCTGGTCTTCTTCCAGTTTGACTCCTTCATAATCAATTTAGACACAATAATCAATAAATTACAAGTAGTTTTCTGGCCTTCTTTAATATGTTCATCCACTGGCTTATCAGGGTCACATCAGGGAATTGATAAACCATTCCAATTGGATTTGGGGGAAAAGATTAACAGAGGGATTATTTACAAATATATAGTTAGAATTAAAAACAAACAAACAAAAAACAAAACAGGGAGGGATAGTATGGATCTGAAGGGATTAAAATGGCAGATCACCATTATCAACACTGAGCCTGAAGGGACAGAGAAAAGAGCAGGACATAGAACCTGAAAAAAAACCAAACAAACATAAAATATGGGACACAGTCCGTCAAAGGTGAATTAAATAGGCAGGAGACAGAGATACATAAGCAACTTGATTCTCCTGTTTCATTTAGTTTGTTCATGGTGTTTCATATCAACCAAATCCATTCAGTTGCTGGAGGGTAAGGTCAGGTATCTAAGTTGATCTCCATTGTTTAGAGGATATCATGGACAAAGGCAGAAAGAAGATCTAGAGGAACAAATGTTAATACCCTGAACTAATATTTGTTAATTCCCAGTCTATTTTCTCAGCACTCGTGAAAATGGATTATTCTACTAAATTTCATGTTTTTCCTCAACTGGGCCCTTAATTCTTCTAGGCAATCCTTAATTAATTTTAAGCAAACTTCATAAAATATTCCTCACAGTATTTCAGTTTTTTTCCTAATCTATACTAACATAAATACCATAACTATCTTACTTGTTTAGCAAATAAATTATTCCTAGATTCTTAGCTGACAAATATCATGCAGTCTTATTTCCATACTCAACCATAAATTTAACTAGCAACAAAAGAAAGGGAAATAGTAAGGCTTGGTTATACAATAGTACCCGAGCCATGTGCTTAGAAGACCATCTATCCTTTATCCATAGAATCACATTAACACTTGGATGTAATTAACACTTGGATATAATTCATTTGATGATACATATGTGGATCAAATGTGGATCAATTTCTAGGATATTTATTATTTTCTATTAATCTATGTCTTTATTTTACCCAGTATCAAACTATCTTGAATACTGTTATTTTCTTCTTTAAAAGTTATTTTTAAAAACTTAGGTGCAGATATTTTTGTAGTACTAACCTGTATCATAGGTGATCTTTTGTATAGATTCCTCATCAGTTATACAAATATCAGGTAAAACTGGATATTGTCACTACTACTTCTGGTGGGACAGCTAAATCTCCTTCAAAATCTCTGAATATCTCTAAATCTGGGTTGGCAAACTAAAGGCCTTTGGACCAAATCTTGCCAAGGACCTGTTTCTATAAATAAAGATGAATTAACACAACCATGCCCATTTGCTTATGTATTTTGTAAAGCTGCTTTTCTACTTAATGGCAGAAGTGAGTAGGTATGAAGACTATGTAGCCTGAGAAGCCTAAAATATTTATTGTCTGGCAATTTACAGAAAGCATTTGCCAAACTCTATTCTAAACATCTTCATAGGATTAATATTTAATCAAAGTAATGGCTAGGAAAAAAAACTACCTAAGTATGTGTATTTTCCTTTATATGTATTCCTGGATTATCTTTTGATATTTTTTCTAACCAAGTCAGTGTATAGAGATAATTCTATAGCATTCCTTTTCATAATCTCTTTTTTGCAATTTACTTTATACATAAATAAAATGAGAAATATTTCTAAAATATTATGGTATTGGTGCTGAAACAGACTGGTACCCCCACGCAAAAGACCCCATCACCATAATTAAGCTTTTCTTCTTATCAAAATGATTTTTACAAAGTATATCATCAGTATTTCACCGTTCTGCAGAGAGCTCAATGCGGTTTGACACTTCCTTTTTCTTGTAAATGCCAGGTTTGCAGACAAAAAGTGTGAAACCTTTGTGGAGCCTAAGAATATGGAACAAAGAATAATGGTCATGTTCCCACTGTCATATAACCACTAATCTAACCACTAAATCTAAAAGAATGTCCAGACTCAGGGTCCAGAGATTGTTAAGCATTAGTAAGCCCCTCTGAATGGCTGCAGTTTAAATAAGCCTGCTTCCTGAAAATTCCTCAGGTATCCAGCCTCATGTGTTCTACATCAGTTCTGTACTTTATTTCTAGTACATATAAGTGTCTAGAAATATTTTGTTTTAATGTTAATTTCATAGTTAACCCTAAGTATGGTAATACATTTTTGATGAAAAAAAAAAATGAGGCCATGTAGAGAGGCACATGCCTATAATTACAGCGACATGGGAGGCTGAGGCAGGAGAATCCCAAGTTTGAGGTCAGCCTCAGCAACTTAGAAAATCCCTAAGTAACTTAATGAGACCCTGTCTCAAAATAAAAGAAAATAAATAGAGCTGGGAATATAGCTCCGTGGATAGCTTCCCTGGATTCAATCCACAGTACAAAAAAATAAAATAAAATAAAATAAATAAAAGAACTTTTGAGCATTTAACACTATAATTCAACTCTATAGATATCTCGAGATATCTTGATATGTGATGGGGATTGTTTCCAAACCCCTGACAATACCAAAATCAGTCAATGCTCAAGTTAAATCTGTGATTGCAGAACTAGCCAGTTGTATGGAAGGTCAAGTACATAATTGCCTTTCAGAAGTTTGTAATAAAATTGAAGACAGCAAATTTAAAAGTAAACATAAGTTTGAAATATTTTTTAAAACTTATGCAATGACTATATTTGTACATTATTTTTTGTAAACATGAACAATATAGAAATATACTTTACATATGTAAGCAATGTATTTATTCTTTATCACATATTCATTAAGAAAAGACAGTGTGTTTGGTCTAACTGGGAAACTTCTCAACAATAGACAATGGTTAGTCACATGTGCTAAATTAAAACTTAGTAAATTCCCTAAAAATATATATATTTTCCCACTGAGCTGTATATTCAATATCAGTTTCTCTTAAAGATATTTCTATTACATTTTCTTGTGTGGTTTCTATAACAGTGAAAAGATCAATTTTTCAAACTTTAAATACATCACTAGTCATATTAGTAAGAAAACATCATTTGTTATTATTTCCACTATGATGACTTAAAAGATGTACAGTAGATTTGAAACTATAAACTAATCTATTAGAGTCACTACAAATCATTAATTTTAAAGTGAAGCTAAAATATGAAAATTATAGATTCTTATTGAAATATGTATTCCTAATTAACTTTGAAAATATTATAAATTTTATTATTGCCTTATTTTTGTAAACTGCATGAGATGTGATCCTCTCAAGCATAAAATTGAAACCAGCACTGTGTTAAAAAAAAAAAAAACAAAACAATTGATCTTATGTTAAAAAAAGATTTCTGAATTGTTCATTCTTGTTGTATTCCTAATATCTTACTCAAAATAGCATCACAATCTATACTTAACTGTACAGTTGCATGAAAAGATTAATAGTTAAGTCATTAAAGCATATAGCTGGAAATGATTTTTTTTTTAAAGTATGGTATCTTTTATGTGGAAAAAG